ATCTCAGGACGTGCTCAGAAATTCTGGCAATCTGAGTTTGCATTGAGGGGGCAGCAAAATGTAGCTTTTACATAAAGTAAACATGCATTTCCACACCGGGATGGGGGGGGGGGGGGGGGGGGCCTTGAGAGACGGAGTGAACAAAGGATGCAGAGAAAGGAGAGAGGAACAGAGTGGGGGAGGGTGTAAAAATAGAAAGGAAAACAAGGGAAAATGTAAGACTCATAATCAAGAATGGGAGAAGCAGCGAGGGAGAACGTCCAGCAGTCCAGCTGTACCGACGCAAGAACGTCAGAACGTCAAGCTGCCACACAGAGGGTTAGCTCCTGCCTGGAGAACAGCATACACTGGCGTGGGGCTCCAGGCAGGATGAGCTGTCAGCACGTCGCTTTTAACCTCCAAGGCGCAGAGCTTGTGTCAAAACCTGACAGCTTGGGTTCTGCCCGTGATAGCGAGAGGAGGCCGGGCATCTCTGTGGAACCGGCTCCGCGCTCATCTCAGTGCAAACCCTCAGTATCGATTTGCCAAACGGCAACGCTGGGGCTCAGTGGGGGCCGCCGTCGCTTCTAATCGGCGCCTGTGCAAACTCTGATTCCTACTTCAGGGGTGTTTCCTCCAACAGCGAGGTTCTTCTCAGTCTGCATTGTGAATGCAAAGGGGGTCGTTTTCTGTCGACCTCATCTGCCTGAATGTGCATTCCCAAGGTCAAATATTGCTTCATCTGGCGAGCTGTTTTTGCATCTCGCTTAGTCCGAATTTCCTAGCCACTTCCGTCTTCCCTAGGCAAACAGCACCCTCTAGAGTTCATTCTGTGATCCTGCATTTTTCACGCACCGCATAGGGTTGAACACCTTGTGCTTGATTTGTACTTTTACTGATCAGTACAATGACTGATTACCAATCAATAACATGTGAACAACAAGGCTTTAGCTTACAGACATTTATAACTGTCTCGTGTACTTGATGTACTCCCTCAGAATGCACCACGATCTTGTTCAGGTGCATGATTGATGGGCACCACGGCCTCAAACCGTCAGGGTTCGGCATTCGAATCCAGCCTAGGCTCTGTGGGTATATTGTGTTTTCTGGAGTTTCCTTCCACAGTCCAAGCACATACAAATTGGCAAACAGGCATCCATTGTGTGTTGCCATTTTTGTGCCCTATGATGGAGTGCCATCTTGTCCAGGGTGTACCCTAGCATTGTACCCTGTGCTGCCCGGGATAGGCTCCAGGCCCCCCCATGACCAAAATGAGGGGTTGGGAGTTGGATGGATGGATTATACTTTAGGCACTTTGGTGGTTATTAACTGTTTCTAGCAGGTTTCCATTTTCAAAGCCAATTATAAGATCCTCCTTTTCTCCCCCCCCCCCACCCAGGAGAGAAGTATGAGCTCCATGCAGGAACTGAGTCCACACCCAGCGTAGTGGTCCACGTCTGTGACAGTGACGCCGAGGATGAGGAGGAGCCTAAAAATTGCCCCAAACCAAAAATAGTCCAGACCCGGCGCCCTGACCTACCTGTGTCTCACTGAACTAACCCGAGCCCCCACGCTCCACCACAGGGAGGGCTTCTTCAGAGGAACAGCGCCCCCATCTGCTCATTGCTCTCCTGGCCATTCCCAGCTCCACAGGGGCTCTTCCTCTGTTTCTTTTCCACCGTACAGCCGTTCATGTCTGTTCATGCCTCCCTTTCCCAAAACAAAAACAGATCGGTCTTCTTGGCTTTGCTTTGTGTACAGTGAGTTGTCCTTCCCCCCTCCTCTTGCAGATACATTTGGGGGTGGGAGGGGGTGTTCAAGCCTGCTTGAAGCCCACCCTTCAATCAGTCCTGAGCCTTGTGCGCCTTGACACACAGCATTCCATTCCAATACAGAGTGTGTAGAGTGTGTGCGTTCATAAGGGTCTGCCAGTACCTCAGGAGGCTGCAGAGCGACTCTGCACAGAGACTCTGCACAGAGACTCTGCACAGCGACTCTGCACAGCGACTCTGCACTGTTAGGTGGGGGTGGGGGTGGGGATGAGCTCGGCATGGGTAATCTCACAGTCCAAGAATGATTCTCCTAAAACCTGCTTCACACTGCTGAAAACCCACAGGAACCTTTTGGATCTTAATAACGCATGCACTGTTCTTCTAGTTTGCATATTGACCTTGTTCTGTTTTTAGTGTGCAACAGTCCATTCCAAAAAAAAAATTTAAATAAATAAAAATCCAAAAGCGTTTCTGTGACTTCAGCTTCCAGTGTTACTCACAGAATATAATACCAATAATGACTGGCGAGACATGTAAGATGTTATGATTCTGTGATTGATTTTTATTTTTTAATTCTTCAGTGTGAATGTTCTGTGTACCATCATGTCACTTCTTAAAAAAAAAAAAGGAAAAATCTGTACAGACTGTGCACTTCTTAAAGACAAGCAAACAGCAGCCAACAATACATCACAAAGCAAAGCTAGTCTTTTGTAAAATGCATGTTTATATGTTTATATGTATAATTGTGTTCACAAGACCCGTCTCTCACACACAAACATGCACACACACTAAGTTTCTGTGCAATTTTACGTACCTCCGCTGAGCGCAAGAAACATTTAAACTACTTTTGCATTTCATGAACACAAATGCATGATCCTCAAACGGCAAGAATTAGTCGCAAAGAAAAAAAAACAATCCTAAAAGTGCTATTATACAGCTGCTTGCAGAAAGATTGAGAGAGTAACCCATCCATCTTTTTATCTGTCTTGTGTCTAGTATTTTTCTGTGAAACTGATTGTAGGCAATGCTTCGCTTTCACTTAACCCCTTTGAGCTCATGCTAAGATGATAAATCATTTGCTATATTGTCTAGAGATGTTTTTTTTTGCCAAATCACATGATCTGACTTCTTCCACACAGAATTTATATATCAACACTGTGACTTGCCACAACTGTGACATGATAATTTCACTACATTTTAAAATGGCTTTTATCTCCATTTTCATGTTTTTTTTCTTTGTTCTTCAGGGTCAGAGGCTTAATTGCCTTCAATAAAGATTCAAAGGATTGCTGATATACTAAAAATACACTTAAAAATACAGTTGTATTACCATTCTTGTTATGTTATGTAATCGTAATGGCAACAACTGCCTTTGCTTGGCATATTTTTCTCCTCTTGTAAAGCTTGCAAACTTTAGTAGAAATAACTTATTTTCATATGTTGCATCAACCTTCCATCCAATACCTCCTGACTAGGGCATGTAATTCACCAGGAATCAAGAGTTTCACTCCAGCGCAACAGGGTATTTCTCCTCAGCTCAAGGAAATCGCAGCTCGATACAAGACACCACACCGCCACAGCTCCGTGTGTTCATATAAGCCAGGTCTTTCACCATGCTAAAGATATGGGTCATTATAGGGAAATAAATCATTGAGTTTTTGCGTTTTACTCCAATGGGTGGATTCCCCGTAACCCTAACCCTCCTTTATTGGCTACATCTCAGAATGTTCAGACTAAGCGTGCTGTTGTGCAGCGTAAAGACAACGTCATGGCCGCCATATTGTCCTCTGACTCATATCAGCATTTGACGCAAGTCTATTTGCAACACACCAGAGGCGTTTATAGATGTTGAATGATATAGTTCTATGTTCATGGTCACGACAAAGGTAAACTGGTCTCAATTTCGTCCTCCAGCTGTCTTAAAACCCTGTGCTTTTATGACATTTATGTACATTTTATTTTTCCGCAACCTTTTCTATCTCTCTTTTTACTGTTTTGTTTTCCTTCCAGAAAATATGATGTGATTCTGTGTCCTGAAAGTCTATTGAAACTGAAAGTAGATCAAATGACGTTACGTTATACCTGTATTGTGTGTCTGTGCGTACTGCCGGATCATCGATGTACCTGTTATGTCAACTTGTGTGAATTGCCTGCCTACACCACGCGGAGACATATCTGTATATATTAATCAATACTATTTTTACTGCATTTTTGTACAAATATTCATGGTAGCCATGTATAAGTAGTTCAACTGATTCTACTGTAGTAATAAAAGAGTTTGGTTTTAAACGTGCTATCCTGGTCTCTCACTGAATGACAAGTGTGAATGACAATTGGATGAAAAAAATGTAAGGATGTACTCAAGACATTTACTGGATACTAATACCTCACCTACATTTTTTGTTGCTTAAAAATGAGTATATGCTACAGTGTTCGCACAGAAAAATAGACGGCGGTAAAACTACAAGCAGCTTTTTTTATCTGCTCTGCATGAAGAACAAAGAACTGTGACTAACACTAAGGGGACTTCTACGTAGAGGTGTATTAGTTTAGCAGAAAATAACTCCTCTACCTGATTTACAGGCGCAAAACTTTGAATATGGGCGCCATACAGTGCACCAATGTAGCTGCAATAGTACGGTTGTATGAAGACAAATTCCTGGTGTTCATCATTAACCTAAGAGAAAAAAATACATCATTAGGGCACATTAAACGTTTCTCAGTCTCCGTTTCGGCAGGGATACCGTATCACGGACGCATCAAACTCACCGTGCCCAAAATTTAAGTAATTCATTCATTGATATGAAAAGTTTTTTGGCAAAGATGAGCGGAATGATTCAGCGGCGGGCGCAGAAACGTCGTATTCCCGCGACAGTCTTGTAGTCAATGGACTGCTTTATCATTGCTGTCACCTCGTCCTTATCTGCCTGCTTTCCAGGGCTCAGGCGTTCTCCCCCGTTCTAATGCCGACATCATTCGCCAAATGCACGTTTTTTACTTTTTATTTGGTAATGTCACAATGTTGCACACTTGCATAAAACCACTCGGGGAAGAAACTGTATTGATGTCTGTCAAATGTCACCAGTTTGACCCAGATTCACGCTCTCAAGACACACCTCATACCCAAAATAAAGTCTTTTATTTAAAATTCACTTTATACATGTCAGCGCGCGCTTCGCTTAGAACCCGTTACCATGGTGAACCCCGGAGACACGCGCAGAGCGGAGCACTTCGCTGTCTTTCTCGTCACTTTTGCGCCTTGCTTCACTTTTTAATTATACAGATTATAGATACCTGTTGTTGACTAGCTGAATAGATATCGCGCTCCATTACACTAACTGACTGATTAACAGGCTTGGCGAGTAACTGAATACTGCCTTAATTTCGTATAATCTGGATATTAAAAATAAGTAACAGTATTCAGTAACTGAGAAAAAGACTACTTTTGAATAAATCGTGATTATTTCCAGGTTATAGTATAATAACTGTCCTTAGAGTGGTTTAAAGAAAGGGAAGCTGACGTCATGCCGTTTCCGGCGTAAGCAGCATGTTCATGCAGCTGGTAACCATTCCCTCCTACCTGCGGCGTAAATCCCTTTTGCAGCATAAGTCCTTCCTATCTGCTGAATAAGTCCCTCCTACCTACGGCGTAAGTCCCTCCTACTTATGGCGTAAGTCCCTCCTACTTGCAGCATAAGACCCTCCTACCTGTGGCGTAAGTCCCTTTAACTTGCGGCTGGCTCCAGTTGGCAGTTGGACCCTTCATGATCATTCTTTTTTCCCAGATTATTTTTCTTACCACACTCCATTTGATGAGAGCGTCGCTGCTGTGCCAAACGGATGCCCGTCAAAATAATCCGTTTAACTCGTGGAAATTTCTCAGTTATTTTGTTTTTAAGGAGGAGAGAGAAAATTTCACGGTGCGATGCGTATTACTCGTATGTCGCCCAGCTGTGAAATTACTGGCAACGTCAAAGAGCTCGACGTCAAATTTAGAAGCATTTAGATGTAAAACTATAATACCAACCACTAACATTAGCTACAGAAATCCAGGTAGCGATAGCCAAAGTAAGCAGGTATCAATATTCAAAATATTATGCTCTTTGCAGAAAGCTTTACAGGTGCATAGGCTACCAGCATTTCAATACTATTTCTACAAATTAACACAATACTATACCGTACTTCAGTGCCGTTTTATTTGTATAGCCCAAATCACATGAGTCCAGTTTTATTTGTAGAGACCCAAATCACAACACATAGGATAACATCTGTTCTTTAACTCTAATATAGGATAGGATAATTTCCTCATTGCTGTTATTATTATAAGGCCAAATTGCATTCCGCAGTATGAGTAATGTTACTTGTTCTTTACTGTATCTAAAGGGGAAAAATGCATATTCTGTCTCCCGATTTTTACCTTGATGGCGTTCCATAATTATGTATGTATATTATTATTTTAACAACACAGTCCTGTTGCCTAATAAAACATGATCTTTCTGACATTTCTTTACTCTTGTTTTTAATTGGCATTGATGTAATCCAAAAGTAACTAAAAGTAATTAGTTACGTTACTTTTATTTTAAATTACTTAAATGATGTTACTGATTATATTTATCAACAGGTAACTAGTAATCTACCCAACCCTGGTGATTAATTTACTCATTTGAGAAAGCTGGATCTCGGTGCAGTTTCTGGGCCTCAACCATTTCATATTGACCAGGCAGAAGTGGACTCCAGTTTACATCTAAAAACCGAAATCACACATAGTGTATGTGAAACACGAAGTCCCAACACACCTGGGCCACCTATATGGTATCATCTAGATCCTGTTCTCCTGATGTGTACTGGGGTGCTGTGAAGTGTACTGGGGTGCTGTGATGTGATGTGTACTGGGCTGCTGTGATGTGTACTGGGATGCTGTAGTGTGTGCTAGGGTGCTGTGATGTGTACTGGGATGCTGTAGTGTGTGCCAGGGTGCTGTGATGTGTACTGGGATGCTGTGATGTGTACTGGGATGCTGTAGTGTGTGCCAGGGTGCTGTGATGTGTACTGGGATGCTATAGTGTGTGCCAGGGTGCTGTGAGGTGTACTGGGATGCTGTAGTCTGTGCCAGGTTGCTGTGATGTGTACTGGGATGCTGTGATGTGTACTGGGATGCTGTGAAGTGAACTGGGATGCTGTGATGTGTACTGGGATGCTGTAGTGTGTGCCAGGGTGCTGTGACGTGTAGTGGGATGCTATGGTGTGTAATTGGATTCTGTGTTGTGTACTGGGATGCTGGAGTGTGTATTGGGATGCTGTGGTGTGTTATTGGGTACTGTGATGTGTACTATGATTATGTGGTGTGTGCCAATATTCTCTGAGTATGGAAAAGTTATGACCCGTAGGCCTATTTAACTATCTGACATGTCAGACTTGCTAGCTGGTTTACATTGCTAGTCGGCTTCTCTAATTTCTTTGTTGTTCGGTTAGAATTTGAACCAGAGGAAATATGATTAGGAACCAGTGTCTTATTTCAAAGTGAATTTTTGTGTTTCAGGTACACTGTATATAACTATATCTGCAGACAGTATTAAAACCAGTATCATTATCACTGTTTAGTAGTTTTGCCTATGTTTTTGAATGCTTTGATTTTTTTTTATCAGGAGTTTGTATAAACGAGATTTTTTTTTTTTAAATAAATAAATGAAAATAAACTTTTCATAAAATAATTAGGCTGATGTACTCAACAATTTTTAAAGGTACCAGAAGATGGCAGTAAACACCATAGGAAGACTGGTAATATATTTGAAACCTAGGTTTATGAAGACCTTGGATTTTGCTTAATTACAATTATTTAAATAGACCACATGGAAGATGACCGGTTACGTATGCTTTTTGTAATAAAATTGTGTAGTCTGAAATATTTCCCTTTCTGGTTTTATGTTGCAGAAGCTTACTGTCCAATATCGGTTTCTTTATTTGGTACGTTTTTCTATGCCAATGTTATTAATGTTTTGATGTCTGAAAACCTAATGTAATTTAAGCTGACATGCTTATGATCGTTCTGTTTGCGGATTTTAAATTCTTAGCTCCATCGCGGTTGGACTGATACTGTTCTGGTGTGTAGTAGCGCGCCTCAGGTCCACCTTGTCGTTTGTTCGCTTGGGTGTGACTGCAGTGTGTCATCGTGCACTGCAGCCAGGTGCACGGTGCTGCCAAGCCGCAGAAGCTACCTGGCGCGGGGATGTGAGGAGCCAGCCTCATCTCGACTCCCCGGGCCAGGCTGACCCCCGCCCCCCGCTCCAATGTGCCCGCGTGGAAGCAGCTCTGCTGACGTCAGCGACCTCCTTCATCCTTCCATAAATGTAACGGTGCCCTTGCTGCCATGTAGGGAAACAGACACCGTTTTAAAGGGGGGGGGGATCTGTTTCATTCAGAATAACTCCAATGAAATTAATTATTTTATTTATTTTTAATATGAGAAACAAGACCACCCCTCAGCCAAGTGTCTTCTGCACCTTAGCTATGTGACCTGAGGGCAAAGATCACAGTCCCTGTCTCATCTGATGACTACCCTTGGCTTTATTATGATTATTTTTCATTTTATTTGATGCTTTTGTCCCAGGGAAAGGTTACAATTTTTTATGTGTGCTCCCGGGGATGCCATATGCCACCCATAGAGGGCGCACTGAGAAGATCTGTGGATCCTGGAGTAATCCTTCTGTATCTAGCTGCTGTTTGCATCTTTCACTCTTTGAATCTTTTTATACAGGTTTTTCTCTGAAAAGAATATAACACAAAAACCTTAATTTTTTTTAAATTTAATTTAAAATCTATTTGTAATCTGTATTTCCATGTAAAATATACATCAAGTTCTGCTACTTTGAGCAGAAAAATAGGTGCAAACATTGCACTGCAGCAAAAGCTATTTTATTTTTTAGATCCTTTATCTTTATGACATGTCAGTCTCAGTGGATTAGAGCATCTGCTATATAAATCCAAGTTAATGTAACTACAGTTGATATTGAGGAACACATGTTAATTTAACCTATTTAGCAAAACCTGCTGTACCATATAGAATAGCAATGAGCAAGTCAAATGAGTTTATTCATCTCAACACATGGTGCTTTATTAGTACAATGGCGCTGTGTAGCCATTTTTATTCTCTTGAATGCGTACGTAGAAAAATTGCCGGCGTTTGTGTCGGGTCTCGGTCGGATTTTTAATTGGGGAGATTAAATATGTGCTGACACTTTGTGAGAGCAGAGAAAACACTTGTTTGTGTTGGCCGGCCGGAAAGGTAGGAGACAG